CAGGCCTCAGGGTGGAAGATATAACCCACCCAACAGTCAGCATCACAGGCCTCAGGGTGGAAGATATAACCCACCCAACAGTCAGCATCACAGGCCTCAGGGTGGAAGATATAGCCCACCCAACAGTCAGCATCATAGGCCTCAGGGTGGAAGATATAACCCACCCAACAGTCAGCATCACAGGCCTCAGGGTGGAAGATATAACCCACCCAACAGTCAGCATCACAGGCCTCAGGGTGGAAGATATAACCCACCCAACAGTCAGCATCACAGGCCTCAGGGTGGAAGATATAGCCCACCCAACAGTCAGCATCATAGGCCTCAGGGTGGAAGATATAGCCCACCCAACAGTCAATGTCGTAGGCCTCAAGGTGGAAGATATAGCCCACCCAACAGTCAGCATCATAGGCCTCAGGGTGGAAGATATAACCCACCCAACAGTCAGCATCACAGGCCTCAGGGTGGAAGATATTACCCACCCAACAGTCAGCATCACAGGCCTCAGGGTGGAAGATATAACCCACCCAACAGTCAGCATCACAGGCCTCAGGGTGGAAGATATAACCCACCCAACAGTCAGCATCATAGGCCTCAGGGTGGAAGATATAACCCACCCAACAGTCAGCATCATAGGCCTCAGGGTGGAAGATATAACCCACCCAACAGTCAGCATCATAGGCCTCAGGGTGGAAGATATAACCCACCCAACAGTCAGCATCATAGGCCTCAGGGTGGAAGATATAACCCACCCAACAGTCAGCATCACAGGCCTCAGGGTGGAAGATATAACCCACCCAACAGTCAGCATCACAGGCCTCAGGGTGGAAGATATAACCCACCCAACAGTCAGTGTCATAAGCCTCAGGGTGGAAGATATAACCCACCCAATAGTCAGCATCATAGGCCTCAGGGTGGAAGATATAACCCACCCAACAGTCAGCATCACAGGCCTCAGGGTGGAAGATATAACCCACCCAACAGTCAGCATCACAGGCCTCAGGGTGGAAGATATAACCCACCCAACAGTCAGCATCATAGGCCTCAGGGTGGAAGATATAACCCACCCAACAGTCAGCATCATAGGCCTCAGGGTGGAAGATATAGCCCACCCAACAGTCAATGTCGTAGGCCTCAAGGTGGAAGATATAGCCCACCCAACAGTCAGCATCATAGGCCTCAGGGTGGAAGATATAACCCACCCAACAGTCAATGTCGTAGGCCTCAAGGTGGAAGATATAGCCCACCCAACAGTCAGCATCATAGGCCTCAGGGTGGAAGATATAACCCACCCAACAGTCAGTGTTGCACGCCTCAGGGTGGAAGATTTTTTTTTCTTTATATATATACAAGAATATATATACTGTATACATTCTTGTACAGCTACTAGCACGCATAGCATTTCAGACAAGTCTTTAATCCTAATTTTCACACACACACACACACACACACACACACATTCCCAGGAAGCAGCCCGTAGCCGCTGTCTAACTTCCAGGTACCTATTTACTGCTAGGTGAACAGGTGTATCAGGTTGACAAACTCTTCTTCTTCTTCGTAATACGTGCAGTTTGCATTAAGGTATATCCTCCTGATGACTACACGAGTGGTAATGTAGAAAGATGTGTATATGACAATGCACAACAACACATCAACGGTCACGACGTGCCCGAGTCAAGAAGATAACGACGCCGTCAAGGTGGGCGAGGATAAAGGCAAAATAAACAAGAAGAAAGGAAAGTAGGATGGGTATAAAGAAAACAGAAAGCGTACGCAAAGCGTCGACGCAGTAAAGAAAGCGAGGGACGGAGGCAAGAGACGAAGGGCGGGGGCAAAGGATGTGAAGGAGGGAAGTGCAAAGCAGACATGAGAAAGGAAGGGAGGTGCGAGCAGAGAAAGGTATAAGGAGCGAATGTGCAGAAGGGTAGAGGAAGTCAAGATGGGACAGGCAAGGTTAGGACAGGGCAAGGTACGTAGACGGCATCCAGAGCCTCACGACTGGAACGCTAACGCATTGGACTCCGGAGAAGCGCCAGCAGGACAAGGACAATGGGAGGAAGACCTAGGAAGGGCGAGAGGACAAGACGTGGGAGAACGTGATGTAGGAGGCCCATCAGGCAAGGTGGCATTGCGCTTGGAAATCGGGACAACTGAGGATTGCTTCCGCTAAATACCAGGGGCAGAGATATGCGGCAAGGCAGTTTGGGGAGAGACACAGGGAAGGCTCGCCAAAGAGTTCTGAAGGGCATTGTCCAGCATAGATTCAAACGCATTGGAGATAGCAGAGGCAGCTGCGGGAGAATGGACGTCAACCGTAGAAGAAGCGGAGGAGAGGAGCGACGGGTCAACCTCAGGAACAAGAAGGATGGACTGCGGAAAGAATTTAGTGACGAGGCGGACTAGCACCATCTCGAGTGCATCCACAATGCGAGCGACAATAGCGTCAACAAGATCGGGACTCAGTTGAATGGTGGGTGGGAGAGAAGCAGCCTCAGGGGCGAGAGGAACGTCAGTGACAAACGGGTCAGGCAGAGGCAAAGGCGGCGGCGGAGGGGAAGGAGGCTGGTGACAAGGAACTGGGGCAGGATGAGGTATAGCACGACTGGAGGGCGGAGTGATGACGGGAAGAACCTTAGTGAGCGCTGCAACGTAGGATGGACTCTGCTTGAAAGTGATAGCATGATCACCACCACAGTTGGGGCAACAGAGCTTGTTGGACTCAGTCACTAGTGAAATGGGAACCAGAGCATTTGCCACAACGGACGTCATTGGTGCAGCCAAGGGAGGTATGGTGAAAACCCTTACAATAAAACCACTGAGTGGGATGGGGGACGTACACCTCCAATTTATGGAATAAGCCATTAATCCAAACCCGATCAGGGGAAAGGGAGTCAAGAAAAGTAAGGAGGGCAGTGCCAGTATCACACAAGTCGCCATCAATTCTACGCATAAATTTCTTGACACCAAAGATCGGAAGGTCAGAATCCTGCAGTTGCACCTTGATGTCATCTGCACTAACGTCCACAACATGCCGGACCACATATCGTACCAAACGGTCACACAACGGACCTTGTAACCACAGATATCAGTAACGTCCGAAAGCACCAAGTCCCCAGAGGAAGCGTAGTCCACTGCAATCTAGTTCCTGCGTTTATTCGGCCTGAAATCGTGCACCTTTATCTTAAAGAACTCGGGAATGGCCTGATAGAAAAGACTGCTTGCCCTATTATTTCCAAAAACACTCCAATAGCAAGCGTATCGGCATCAAAGGCGATGATGAATGTACGTAGGCCAGGAGAACTCGTCTGACCTTGAGGGAGTGGAGTGCATGGAAACAGAGGTTGCAGGGGTCACAGGGCACTGCAGGACGCAGGCAACGTTTCGCTTCCAATCTATTAGCCTTACTATGATGTTTACTGTCCAGAAAAACACCCTCGCGATCCCCCCCTCCAAGACTGGGAGAGTGTCGTGACCGGAATGAGTGCCAAGGGACAGCGGGTCCTGAAAACCCTCAAAGGGATCGAAAATGTCCATGGGAGAAACGCTGCGTGAACCACCATCCATTGCCATGGTTGGCCGGCCATGGTGCTCCGAAAAAAACTCTGCCCATTTGTTTTACGCCTTTGCCGGGGATCAAACCCTGACCCTTAGGACTACGAACCCCGAGCGCTGTCCACTCTGCCATCAGGCAAACCCACCCAATATAACCCACAAAACATTCGGCACCGTAGGCCTCAGGGTGGAAGTCATAACCCACCCAACAGTCGGCATCTCCAGCCTCAGGGTAGAATGTATAACCCATGCAACAATCGGCATTGCAGGCCTCAGGGTGGAAGGTAGAACTACCCAACAGTCGGCATGGCGGAAACAGTGCAATGATCACAGGAAACAGTGCAATGAAACACAGGAAAACTGATGGACATCTCTCAAATTCGCAAGTAGCAAGTGTGGGCTGGGTGTGATAATCAATTACTATCCACACGAAAGGCCCATGGGGCTTACCAATCAGCAGGTAAAGACCAAGTAGGTAACTCAGGAATTACGGACACTAGGAACTGACTCTGAAAGCAGTACCAAAGAAAGATGCAACTGCAAAGGGTATCAACAGCATGCCATAAATACAAGCATAGAAACCCTAGTACACCCCCAGAATTTGCCCAACCTCAGTCTAGCAGGGGAGTCAAAGACCCTTGCACTACTCAGATTGAGGCAGCCTCCACAGGAGGCCAGCCTTTTTATGAAGAACACCTGAACCCACCAGGAAAGTAACCTTGTCAGGGCAGAGGCAACATCATGCGCTGTAGGAGAGGGCAGCTCTATTCACATGCGACTCAAGGTGAACAATTTCCAAAGTCCACACAACTTTGTGAGGTTTGTAAACACATGTATGTGAAGAATACTTAAGAATAAAATAATACACAAGCAAATGGGGGCTTACAGGAGAGAGTCCAAAGGATGGCCCAACTCATTTTTAAAAAATCCAAGACCAGGAGAAGTGGCAATTAGTGGAGTTGTTAGAAATATCTGACATCAGGCGAAGGACTTAAGGTTGTTGACAGGAAGAACCTGAAGCTCCGATGGTGCTGCCACCTGGTGGGGTACAGCTGCTACTAGGGAGGGATCGGGGGGTATGACCTACCGAAACTACAGTCATTTGCTTCATTGTTTGTTTACTTTCTGTGAACCTTGCAGCTATCTGCTTTACTTTGCTTACTTTCTGGGGGATTTGAGTCCTTGGTGAGGGTGATTATGAATCCCCTGCTCTCTGCACCACTGTAAGGGGGCCAGGTTTTTGACTCTGAACTCTGCTATGCTTTTAAAGACTCACAAGAGCTGATGTGGCTTATAGGTGTGGAACTATCTCAGTGCACCTAGCTACCGGGAGCCACAGAGGCTTCTCCAGAAAAAAGGTATTTCATTACATTCAGTGCTAGGTTTTTCCTCTTTTAACCTCTTAAAGAAGTTTTCATTCAAATTTAAAATCACATTTGATTATTTTACAGGGTTCATAAACCAAAAGATGAGTGATAACAGTTCCTCGAAAAGCATCTGGTGGATCCTTCTTATAGTCTTCTTGGTTATCATGATCTTCCTGGGACTCTCATATTACCTCCTCAAGATGAGTAATGTGAGAAAACAGCGAAAGTCTGGGGCAAGAACCTCAGTCTCCTTCAGTGCCTTAACAACCAGCGAGAACATCACCTGCACAGAGACACCATCCTCGTCCGGATGTTCACCATCAACGCAGGTTCCCGAGAGGCGGCCCCCGCTGCCATCCCCACCTGGATGTTCACCACTAGCAGAGGTCCCACAGAGACGGCCCCCACAGCCATCCCCACTTGAATGTTCCCCACCACGGCCCCCAGGCGGCCCCAGCTGCCATCCCCACCTGGATGTTCACCACTAGCTGAGGTCCCACAGAGACGGCCCCCACAGCCATCCCCACTTGAATGTTCCCCACCAGCTGAGGTCCCACAGAGGTGGCCCCAGCTGCCATCCCCACCTGGATGTTCACCACCAGCTGAGGTCCCACAGAGACGGCCCCCACAGCCATCCCCACTTGAATGTTCCCCACCAGCTGAGGTCCCACAGAGACGGCCCCCACAGCCTCCACCAATCACTGCTACCTTAGACTCTGAATATGCTGAGATCATCGAGGAAAACGAGGAAGAACACTTATACAGTTATGTCGATTTGGAGGCTTTGAAGAAACAACTTGTTGAAGAAAAGATGACAAAAAAACAAAAAGAAAGTATGAAGAATGAAGTGAATAGGGCTAATGAAGAGAATGAGGAGGAGAGAGACACAAAAGACTTAAGTCGCCATGATTCAGAAAATTCCTTATATAGGATGTAGAAGACAACAGAAAATGAGAGAAAATAATAATAATAAATAATAATAATATTTTATTTAGGAAAAATACATACATAGATGCAGAGTTACAAACACTCTGATTGATTTATAGATAGAGATAGTGCATACAGTACCTAAAGCCACTAGTACGCATAGCGTCTCGGGCAAGGTGAGGTGGAGAAAAAACACTTAGACTAAAACTTAATAGTAATTGAGCTTGAAGTATAAATTGTGTTGAAAGAAAACAATATATAAGATAAAAAAGGGGGAACATGGTAGAAAATAGCCAATATACAAGTTGGTCAACAAACAGCATTGTTTAAAAAAAATAGTAAGACATGGGTTGACATTTAGGGGTAAGGTAGGTTACAGGGAGTTAATTAGGTAGTACATAGTTCTCATCTTAAACTGGTTGAGAGAGGTACAGCCTTTGACATGATTGGGAAGGTCATTCCACATTCTGGGTCCCTTGATTTGTAAAGCATTTCTAGTTTGATTAAGTCGTATTCTTGGAATATCAAATAGGTATTTGTTTCTGGTGTGGTGCCCATGGGTTCTGTTACAACCTTCTAAGAAGCTTTTAAGGTTAGGATTGACATTACAATTCAGAGTTTTAAATATATAGACTACACATGAGAGGATGTTCAGTGACTTAATATCTAACATATTCAGAGATTTGAGTAAGGGTACCGAGTGCTGTCTGGGGCCAGAGTTAGATATTGTTCTAACTGAAGCTTTGTGTTGGGTAATTAGAGGACGTAAATGATTTTGGGTAGTAGAGCCCCAAGCACAAATACCATAGTTGAGATATGGATAGATGAGAGAGTAATAGAGCGTCACCAGGGCAGGGCAAAGTACATAATATCTGATCTTAGAAAGAATGCCAACAGTTTTCGAAACTTTTTTTGCTACATTTAGAATGTGTCCCTGGAAACTCAGCTTGTTATCGATGAGGATACCAAGGAATTTACCATCAACTTTACTACTGATTTGTATATTGTTTATTCTTAGATTAATTTCATTAGAGGATTTATTACCAAACAAAATATAGAAAGTTTTGTCAATGTTAAGGGTGAGTTTGTTAGCAGTTAGCCAAAGAGGGACTTAATTTAGCTCAGTATTCACAGTGACATTTAGAGCAAGATTGTCAGGACTGGAGAAAATGAAAGTTGTGTCATCAGCAAATAAGATTGGTTTGAGGTGTTGAGAGGCATTTAGAAGGTCATTAATGTAAATGAGAAAAAGGAGAGGGCCAAATATGCTGCCCTATGGAACACCAATGTTTATGGGTCGTGTAGGAGAAATGGAATTATTCACATAAACATACTGGAGCTTGTCAGTAAGGTAAGACTGAAGGTATTGCAGGGAGTGACTTCTGACTCCATAATGATGTAATTTAAGAAGAAGGTTTTGGTGGTTGACAGTGTGAAAAGCCTTATGTAGGACCACAAATAACCCAACAGGGAACTCATTTTTACCAAGAGCTGTATGTATCAAGTTAATCATACTAATAAGTGCATCGTTAGTGCTTTTATTGGGTCTGAAACCATATTGGCAAGAGCTAAGGATATTGAGTTTGGCTAGATAAGAGTAAAGCTGCTTGTAGATTAGTTTTTCAAATATTTTTGACAAGGTTGGCAGAATGTAAGAGAGACCCCCTTGTGTAGGGAGAAATAGCAGTGCTGTTGAGAGAGACCCTTGTGTAGGGAGAAATAACAGTGCTGTTGAGAGAGACCCTTGTGTAGGGAGAAATAACAGTGCTGTTGAGAGAGACCCTTGTGTAGGGAGAAATAACAGTGCTGTTGAGAGAGACCCTTGTGTAGGGAGAAATAACAGTGCTGTTGAGAGAGACCCTTGTGTAGGGAGAAATAGCAGTGTTAAATGTTGAAAAACAGTCTGGAACTTTGACCCCTTTAAGATGCACAGAGCATCATCTCAACAGGAAAATGTAATCTAAAAAAAAAAAAATGTAAACAAAAGGGATAAAATGGTTAAGAAAAAGCAGATTCAATGCAAGAAAATATGGAGAAACAACAGTGTTAAATGTAGAAAAACAGCCTGGAATATTATAAGACATATAAATGAAGTATTGGGAAATGTGTATGACATGTATAGGGAGGGAACATTATTGAAACTAGGCAGGCAGGGACATGTGGCAGCCCCTATCAGTCACTTGGGAGAGGGAGGCAGTGAGAACCAGACCAGTGTTGTGGATGGTCTCCAACAAATACGATAAGTGCAGTATTATAGATGTTTATAGCGGTGCTTCCCCCCCTTTTCTTTATGAGTTAGAGATAAGAATTTGTGGAAATAAGGATTTTTGGAACCGTGTGTGTAGGGAGAGTGGTGTGTTGTTAATTCAGGTGTATGTGCTCAGCTGTGTGTCACATGGGAAGATTACCCACATTTATTTTGTATATTCATTTGTAAACCCCAGACCCTTTGTAGTGACCTAAGAGGAGTGGGATAGAGTAATGACCTTAAGTCCCAGGTTGTAGAGGGAGAAGGAACCTCCCCCCCCCCCCACACCCTTTTTGTCTGTATCAATCCTGTAGTGGATCCAATCAATCCCCCCCCCCCCTTCTAAGAAGTGTGAGGAAATCTGGTATTTGTTAAATAAAATCCTTTTTGTAAAATTGTACCCCAAGGTGTATTTCTTGTCCCATGTAGTTAGAACTGGTGACCCCGGCACTTCCATTATTTATAAGAAAGTAAGAGCGAGTGTTGTTAGCAATACTTTAGGGTACGGCTTTCAATCTCGTACCTTACAAGATTTTTTTCTTATTATTATTTTCTACTACAGACGTGGCAACACATTTTACAAGAATTGATATAAGTCTGTAATTGTTGACATCAGTGAGATCACCACATTTGTGGACTGGGGTTACTCTGGCTTTTTTTAGAATATCCGGAAAGGTTTGGAGTTCAAGTGATTTGTTGAAGAGCAATGCAATAGCAGGAGCTAGAAATCTGGAGTTTTTTTTTTTTTTTTGTAAATTTGAGATGGTATCTCATCAAGGGCACTTGACTTAGTTTTAAGGGAACCTTACCTTGAGGTTACCTTGAGGTGCTTCCGGGGCCGGCCGGAAAGGATTACTTCATTAACATCAGAGGAATCAGCGGGAGCTAGGTACAGGGACTCTGGATAGTTACTTGTAAGGTAGTCTTTAATATTAGTGAGTGAGGATGGAATATCATGAGCAAGGGATGTACCAATGGATGAAAAGAACCTATTGAATTCAATAGCAGTGTCTGAGGCCGGAAGCACACCATCGTCATTGGATAGGAGAATTGGTTTTTGGCACATTTGATGGTGCTACATTGCCTTCCCGGTTTGGTGCCTTCTATTGATAATTACTTACTTACTTACTTTTTATTCAAAATCTTTTTTTTAATCAAATATTTGGGAGATAATGCTCCATGTTTTCTTAATGTTGCCCTTAATTTGGGTAAATTTATTTTCGTAGTATTTTATTTTGGCTCTTCTAATTATTTTAGACAGCATTGATGAGTAAGTCTTTGAAAATTCTTTGGAGACGACTCCTAACCTATACTTCTTTTCAAGGTCATGTTTTTTATTAATAGATTTAAGTATACCCTTTGTAAGCCATGGAGTGTGTGTAGTGAGTACATTATCCCAATAATGTACTCGCTCCAAACACATTAGCCTAATAAATAAATAAATAATAAATAAATGTTTATTTAGGTAAGGTACATACATACAAGAGATTTTACAAAGATTGATGGAATTATAGATAGAGCTAGTACATACAATGCCTAAAGCCACTATTACGCAAAGCGTTTCGGGCATGAAAAACTTAAATGACTAAAGCTTAATACTAATTGAGCATAAAGAATAAAATGAGTTGAGAACAAATAAAAAAAAAAGAGATAAAAAAGGGGGGAACATGGCTGAAAAAGCAGCACAAATACAATTAGGTGACAAACAGCGTTGTTTAAAAAAAATAGACATGGATTGACGATAGAAGGGTAAGGTAGGTTACAGGGAATTTATTAGGTAGTGCTTCGTTTTTATCTTAAACTGGTTGAGAGAGGTACAGTCTTTAACATGGTTGGGAAGGTTATTCCACATTCTGGGTCCCTTGATTTGTAGAGCATTTCTAGTTTGATTAAGTCGTACTCTTGGAATATCAAAACTGTATTTATTTCTGGTGTGGTGCTCATGGGATCTGTTACAACCTTCAATGAAGCTTTTGAGGTCAGGATTGGCATTACAGTTCAGCGTTTGAGAGAAGCAAAGCTCTTCTTGGTATTATTAGGAACTCAAACCTTTCCCTACTTCAACCCTTTGGAGAATGGTGAGGTGTTGCCCGAGCATATAAGCAGCAGAGTAGTGAATAATAACTAGTCTACGTTCAAGTTGGTCTAGGACACTTGCGAGATACTGTACCGATTCTCAGTGCGCTCAACTCACACCATTGCTCACCATTACAGTTCAGCTGACGACACGACACCCTATTAGCCCAGCTGGCTACACTGGCAGACCGGCTTCATGCTAGGTCTGATAACGCTACGCTGTCCCACCTCAGTGATAGACAGCAGACTACAGACACCCAACAACTCGAAGTCCTCCAGAACCGGAGTTTCTTCTGCCCAGGGAGGACGTACCACGCGAATCCAGTATCAGGATCTAGGCGACAGTGAAAACACCAAGGAGAGCCTTGTTCTTACCACCAGAAGTTCGGACGCCAAGTCCACAACTGTAGGGCTCCTCGTTCCTGGTCGGGAAACTACTTCGGAAGGGACTGTTAACGGCCAGTAACCCCGCCATTTCAAACACTACACTGCTCTACATATCTGACATCATAACCAAACGCCGTTTCCTCATTGACACAGGTGCAGCAGCTAGTGTGTTGCCTCCCCCACTGGTCAAACCAACCCGCACTCCTGGTTTGGACCTGCGTGCCGCCAATGGTACGTCCGTCCGTACATATGGGACCCGCGCCCTGGTTCTCGATTTCGCCTCTCTGGGTCGCTTTACG